CAAAATGAATGTACACACTGTATTGTACGGCGGTATATGTGCTTTTTGTATATTTTTCATTTGAAGTTCAGCTAGGTCATCGCTTCCTTTCTTAAATTTTCCAAAGCTTTTGCTGTGGACCTACATGTATTACTGACAGTTCAACCGGGTTCTATAGAATCTATAGAAAAGAAAAACAAATTACCGGAATATTTTTTTCGTTTTACAAGTCAAGGTAGGGTTTTAGTGTAGTTCCACGATTCTCTGTTTGAGTATTGCGCTGTGTAATATAATAAGAGAGGATAATCAACTGTACGTGCGTATGAAGCAAGGTCAAGATGGATCCCATCCGGTGATCATATTAGAGCATGAAAATCACACCTGCCTACATAGAAACCCAGACAGCATGGAGTCTCTCTGGTAACCCAGCGAGAAGAAATTCTCTAGTTGCGTTCCCACTGGCTCTCACGACAAACGCAGAGTCCTGTGTGACAAGATGTCTTCATGTGACAGTGCTCAAACCCTTCACAAGGCTCATAATACATTGTACATTTACTGGGGGCAGTTTTGCCTTCTGAAACTACTGGAAACACCCCCTTAGGTTTATACATGTAAGTACAGTATACAAATGATGCACAGTTTTGAGTGCGTCGGTAGGGATTGTGTGCACAAGGTACCTTTGAATGGTTTGAACCCACGAGGCACAGCCGAGTTGGTTTTAGACCAAATTCAAAGGTACCGCGTGCACACAATTCCACCGACCCACGAATTAAACCTGTGCATCATCTGTTTTATAAGATGGGGCCCCAAAAATTGTCAAAAATACAAAATGTTGTTATTTTAAAGATTTACTGGATGCATGGCGAAATCATGCGTCGGGTAATTTTTTTTTACCGGATGCATGATTTTTAAGTTACCATGAAATTAAAAAAAAAAAAAAAAAAAAAAAATTGTCAGTGCACATTAAACTGTAAACTTTGAACAAAAAAAATAAATAAATAATTTAAGAATTTTTTTTTTTTGAACAGATTATAATTATCAAAAAACACGAAAAACAAATAATTATCACCAACAAAAAAATTGTCACAAAAATCATTAAAAAAATAAAATTATATAAAACAAAAAATCATTAAAAAAAATAAAATGAAAAAGGGAATTATTAAAAAAAAAAAGGATATCGATGGTGGTATCGATCGCGGGCACCCAGTAAAAATAATTACATGGTAATTGACCAATCAGATTGCAGGGATTCTTCTACCCATCTTATAATATTGCTTGGAATAAAGAAGTCACACCAAAGTAAGTGCCGGTACCTCCTGGTTTCTGTTTTTTCCCCGGTAGGATCACTCTTTTCTTTAACTAAAAAAAAAAAGAGCCCACAAACATGTACCGTTTACAGAATTACTTGCAGCAAACAAAAAATGGGTTATATGTTCTCACAGCTTACAGCCCTACATGTAACTGTAGATTTGATGAGTGAGAAAATTATTAAATCTTTTTTTTATTTCGAAAGAGGAATTCCTGGGAGGTGTTTCACAGAGATCCTAAGTCGAACTTATCTCTAAGTTGGACTTAAAAGTTATGGAAAGCCATTAGTATCCTTGAAAATATTTTGTAAAAGTTATTTTAAAAGGCATAAAATGTTGATTCAAATCATTCATAGTTTCTATTATCATGGGAGATTTCATGTTCATGATGTGAAATTTATGGAAAGTCTAAAATACTTGGTTTTTTCGCTTTTGAATATATTTTATTTTAAGGCTACAAATGGCTCTCCATAACTTTTAAGTTCAACTTAGAGTTAAGTTCGACTTAGAATCTTTGTGAAACACCCCCCTGGTGTTTCAAGCCTGTTCTTGTCAATCTTGCAGCTGTATTCTTGGTGCATGACTGCATGTGCATACCCCGTGTTGTGCCACTTTACAAGCTAATTTCCAAATCTTTTCTGCGAAAATTGAACATCTGGTAGATTTCCAATTCAAGTTCTTAGAATTTTCTTAGATAGACTCAAGACATTCTTGACCCATTTCCTTCATTTAAAAATGTAAGCCAGGAAATTAATTTAATACCGGTAGTTCTAATATCTGGTATCAGTTTATATTGCTTATTGACTTTTTAATTGCTATCTTTTTTTAAACAAGGATTGTTGATTTTTTTTCATATTAATTTTTGTATATCATGAATTCAAATCATTTATTTGAATTACATGTAGCATTGATTAATAAATATACAAACTCTGTGTTAAACGAATCTACTGAACAGAAGTAAAAATATACTTATTTTGTACATGAAGTTTTTTTTTTTTTTATATAGGCCTATACACTGTACACTGTGTAGGCCTTCAGAAAGATATTATAGATCTCAGTTTTCACTATGGTGTAGTGAAGGCAAAATGTAACCCATAGTGCTTTACAGCTTTGCCAATACTGCAAATTATGATATTCTGATCTCAAAAGAAGCCCTGGAAAGTGCATTTACTTTATGGAAGGCTGATTCTTGATATATTATAAAGTCTCTGAATTCCACACTCGTACAGACAATTCCATTCACTTTGTCAGACTCGGTCGTGATTACTAGAATGACATTATGTCTATCCCTGTCAATCCGTTCCTTCCACATGGCAGGCTGTAAGCATGTTCTATCCTTCAAGGATGTGACATATCACATGCCAGTGAACTAACGCCGGATGTAACTCTGGGTATCTTACCTTATCCTACAAGCGCACTTAAATTAATAGGCTTACTGGGAATAAACTCTCTGCACAGAGTCTGCAGTGAAGTCAAGGAAGGGGCAGGATATATCGAGGAAGACAACCATGCTCACTATAAGTTACCTACATGTACTGTACATGTAGTGAAAACAAAAATTTTTCTCATTGTTGATCAAAATTTCTTAATGTATTTTTCTCCCCAAGGAAAATTGCTTTGCCTTTTTTTATATAGTTCTTTCTTGATAAGAATATTTTTAGAAATCATTTGTAGAAGCTTGAAAATTCCTGAAACAAATGAAAATGATTTACTTGTGTACCCGGTACCTGTATGTAGTGTACATGTGCATGTACAGTACTTTGCAAAAGCATTCTTATAATGAATACTCCCTTGTACAGTTTTTGCCTTCTGAAAATGTACCCTCCCCAATCTTTTACTAATTGCTTGGCTTTGCTGTCTGTGCTATGTGCACTTTAATTTTATAGTCTGGGGGAGCTCGGGAAGTGAAAGGAAATAAGATTATTCCTAAATCGATTTAATGATGAACGTGCTGTGTAGAAACGAGAGAGCTCCGGAATGTATTTTGAAAAGTGTAGGCTCTAGAATGACTAGATACTTCAATTTAGAATTTGTAGTGATCTCTTTTCTTCTTGAAAAATTAGTCTTGTACATGTGGGTGTAGAATGAAACGTCCTCATGAGATAAAATATCCTCATTTCTAAAAAAATGAAAAAATTCTTGAAGTTCAAAACAAATTAAATCTACATGACATGAATGACGGAAGAATCAATTAAGAATCCATTACTTTTTGCTGCAAGTTTTTGCTCGAGTTGAAGAACATGCACTATATGGCCCGAATTCACAACGGAGGTCTGAGGACAGACCCGGTTTGATCAGACCAAGGTTTGTACAAACCTCGGTCTGAGCTCAAACCTGGTTTATTTTCAAACCCATTCCACAAAGGAAGGTTTGTATAAACCTTGGTCTGTAATTCCCAAACCTCCGACCAAGGTTTGTAAAACTAGTCTCAGCCATAGGGTTTCTAACATAATTTTTATGGGCTAGGGTTTAAATGTTAAGAATTGAAAAAACTGTTAAACTAAGCATGCTTAGTACGATCCGGACATCTTAATGAGCAATCTTGAAAAGATGATGGTTAGAACATCTCTGAAATAAACTTTTGAATTGCATTTTCATGAATTAATCGAACCAAACTGGCGCGCCGATGCAGAAAGTGCCCCACGTACTCACATTTGTGTGGTGCTGGTGAAGCACTCAATCTGACCCAGAACAAATTGACATCGGCACCTGGAAACCTTCGTTAGATAAATACATCTAAGGTTGTCAAGGGCTCTTTTAAATTAACTGTAAGAGTCTTATTGTTTTGGGGGTTAAAAATTCTTATCAATAAAATCACCTAATAATAATAATAATAATTATCTCCAGTCGGGCCATGGTCATCATGAACAGCTTCGTCAACGACATTTTAATATGAATTAAGTTTTTATTGTGATTAATATATTAATTCATTTGATTGCAATTGTTAATTACTATAGATCTATATAGTTATTTTGTTAGAATGGTCAATCAATTATTATTTTAACTAGTTCCCCGTTTGTTTCCCCAACTGGCTATTTTTTTCACATCAAAATTGTAACTGGTAAATGATTTCCATATAATATTAATTTTTTTAAAATTCCTCTATGGCCATCTTTTCTTTCTCTCTCCCTCCCTGTCTCTTTCTCTGTCCCCGTCCCTCCTCTCTCTTTCTACCCATTTTTGTTCTCTCTCCCTCCCTTTCTCTCTCTATATATTCTTTTTCTTTCTCCCCCTCTCTCTCTATTCATCTTTCTCTCTCTCTTTCTCTGTCCCCGTCCCTCCTCTCTCTTTCTACCCATTTTTGTTTTCTCTCCCTCCCTTTCTCTCTCTATTCTTTTTCTTTCTCCCCTCTCTCTCTATTCATCTTTCTCTCTCTCCCTCCCTGTCTCTTTCTCTGTCCCCGTCCCTCCTCTCTCTTTCTATACCCATTTTTGTTCTCTCTATCTCCTTTTCTCTCTATTAATTCTTTTTCTTTCTCCCCTCTCTCTCTCTCTATTCATCTTTCTCTCCCTCCCTTTCTCTCTCTATTAATTTTTTTCTTTGTCCCCTCTCTCTCTATTCAACTTTCTCTCTCTCTCTTCTTCTTCTTTTTTGCAATGAAACACATAATGCAAAACCATGCAAACTGCAAACACACACATCTGCAACCCCCCCCCCCCAAAAAAAAAAGGGAGAAAGAGAGAGAGATAATCTGAAACATATCTATTTCAGTTATCTTTGTAAATATATGAAAGCAAGAATATTGTATTTGTATTTTCATGTTTTACATAAATAATTGAGCATACAACACAATAGTAATCTACCGTTTGTTCAAACAATGCAGTTCACATTTGTAAATTTTGTAGCATGCTTATATGAAATATAGCCCACTAGAGGTTAAGAGAGGCTCTGGAAGGCCAATTAAAAGTCTCACTGTAGCGCTATTAGCAGAAAGAAAATCAGAAATACAACAAAATTGGTGACGAAAATTCAAATTTGCACATAAAAGTTTTTTAATTCCGACTTCGCTTAGTACAGTAAATAATATTTGTTCGAATACTCTCCCCTAGCTGACACCCAAATAATTTATATTGACCCACCCCTCAACTTAGTAGCATTGTATACACTGCTACCTATAGTTAAATCGGGTGCATTTAATCTATAGAGAACACTTAATTACAAATACCGTCAGAGTGACAACAAATACTTATCAACTAAACATAACATAAAAAATATTCATAAATAATCAACAGTTCAACACCCAGGTTCTTGATGTAATGCTGCATAACTACGAAGTATTGTGGGAACACCAAGGAGGGGCCGTATTTTGAAATACATTTTGAGGTAATTCCAGTTGCAATCGAGTTAAATCTGTATTTTATAACTTATTACTGTATACATTGAAATTTTTTGTGGAATCCTTAATTAAATAATGTATAGCTCACTAAATAGATAGATAGTGGTGGTTATTTTACTCGACAGCTAAGAAAGCAATAAATGCTTGTTAGTAAGCTCCAGTGTAAGCTGTTTTAGGCTATACTTGTCCAAACCAATGCTATATTTGCACAACGTGAATTTCCCCAATATGGGCAACAGGAAAGCATAAAAATAATTAAGAAGTGTCGACCTTCTCTCTTAGATTGATGAGGCATGGAACGTCCTCATCCTTGCATTTAATAAATATGCGCTCAATCTCACATCTCCCTTTTTTGTGTGGGAAGTGTTAAAGCCCCACTGTACTACTTGTAGCTACTTGCTCCCTCTATATAGAAAACCTCCCCAATCTGTGCCTGTTAATCCCCCATGATCCTCTTTTTCTTATGTTAATGGAGAACTGAATTGATGAGATAGCCTCCCGTCAGTGACCTCCTTTGGTCAACCCTCTGAATGAAGAAATGGCTTTTGATGAGGCAGGGAAGGCATGGATACCTGCAAAATTGAATGGACAAAATAAACAATATCATAAACAATATTCTTAATTTCAACTTGTTCATTTTTTTTCTTGGAGGGGGGCGGGGAGGGGGGGGGGGGGTAATACTATAGAAAGGATACAATGTATTGTACACATAATCAGGAATTATTCAATCCTGTGTCACTAATACAAAAACTATGAGGTTCCACTTGACAACAAACTAATCAAATTGCATCCAGATATCAAAAACATTAATTGTGATTTGTGAACTGAAATTTAAAAGCACATGAGCTCGTTTGAATTAATTACTTAATGCGAGTTGTTACTATATTACCAAATGAACATTCCTAACATGTCACATGTTGGCCAAATACAAAAAAGGAAACAAGATTGATTCAGAAAAAGAATAAACAAATGTTTTCATATAAAGAAATAATCTACCTACCCTATAGTCTATCTCCAAGAATCAACTGTTATTCATATGCCCTAGCATGAAGCTGTCAATTCAGTGCACACTCAGAAAAGATCCTGGCATCGTGGCTGCTACCAGTCCAGGCCACCTTGCAACGATACTAGTTATTTTCCCAGCATAATCACAGACAACCTGTCAGCATGAAATAACATGTTGGCATTCATTAGTTATGAAAACTCACTCATTTCACACTTCAGATAGGCCGTGAAATGTATAAATTTCACTTGTTATTTATGGTAATTAATGCAAATGCAGTTGAATATGTGATAATTGCTTTCCAATATCTATTTATACAACAAAAATTGGAAGAAAATGCTAATTACCCTATATTTATTGACTGATGAAGTATTTCTTCATTTTTAACTCATGTTTTCATTGTTTATCTTGTAACAATGTAAACAAAAATAATCTCACTTTTAACAAAACATTTCGAGCCTAAAACAACAAATGCTTTGTGTGTGGGGGGGGGGGGGGGGAGGGGGTACCCACTCTCGCATATTTTTATTGGAAATGAACCTGTTTGTTTTTCTATAGTTTAAAATATATAGTGGTAATTGCCATTGATCAATTTTATACATGCTTCTCTTTGTTGTTTTTTCTTTCATTGATCAATGGCAAAAACAGTGGCCCAAATGCCATGGCCATCAACAAAATATCAGAAATCTAGAGGTCATATCCGAATTGCCAATAGAAGGATGGAATAAGTTTTGATTTTTCAAATTTCCCTTTCGTTAAAAAAATATTTACGAGTGTTAGGATTTTTAAGTTTAACTATCCATTGGATATTCTTAACTGTGTACAAAGGCAGTGAAATGAGTACCTGTACGCGAATATTACTTTAATATCCATTTGGCCACTAGAAATCTTGCATTGGTCACCAATGAATTAGCATGGATTTACAACACACAAGACTGGAGAGTGTATATATCTAATGTGAAAATTTTGCAAGGTACAAAAAAAAGGTCTAAAGGGAAAGCAGTGCTGGATCCAGTCATGATGTATTCATTTATTCTCACCTGAACATCGATGGAGTACCTGTTCTTCCTATTGAAGTAGTACCTGGCTCTTGCCCCACCAGGGCTCCTGATGTAAACATGTGTCCCATCAACAGCAACTCCTGGAAATCTGCAGTACTGGAAAAACTGCTTCTGAATAGTATAGTCACTTTTTGCCTTGTTGTAACTTGTACTTGTAGGAAACTTCATGACTTGTCCCTTTCTTCTGACAACAGCTTCGGAAACATCCCTCACTACTCTCCATTCGGCAAACAGATGAATATGACACGGCATGCCGCCTCCTCATGGTGCATCCTTTAGATCGAATTACCTTTTTAAAAAAATTAAAAAAACAAGCATTCAAATAAATCATTTTTTTGCTGGTTTATGCTATTATATTTTTACATCCCCAACTGTCACTGTCACTTAAAAAAAAAAAAAAAATCCTGATTTCTAGATGTGGTGTGAATCAATTTAACGTAAAAGACAAAATTGTCTATGCCTTTTCTAATCTCCTTCACGGCTTCACCTTTTGTGAAATTTAAGCAACAAATCACAAACTTGTTTCCAACACATAATCTGAATAATTTCCTCATAGGGCTTGCACGGTCGTAGGCAGACCAGCGGAGCGGGGCAAACGAACAGTGAATTTAGGCGGTCAACATGAATTGAAATATTTCTGGATTTTAATAACGACACTAGGGTGTTGGATTTTACAACAAAAGCCCTTTTTTTATAGCTCTGTTAACAATATTCATCAAGTAGTTTGGCCATGTTTTCGCCAACTTTCCCAATAAAGAATTTGAATTCAAAGTACCTCAATCTAAAACAAAAGGCTCATCATCCAGCGGGTTTTCCCAATCTCAGAGGCCTCTGCCCAGTTGTGCTGCTATATGTTGCTCCAGCTCCTCCTCCAATATGCTGAATCAGCTGCATTTCTACCATCTTTACTAGAGTGAAGATAAAATGAAATAAATGTTTAAACAATGTTTTTAAAATAAAGAAATGTTACTTGTGCTTGTGACTTTGTGGGTGATCCTGGCTCTGGAGACTAAGCCAGTTAATTAAGACAATTAGAACCAGATCTAAATTTAATAAAAGCTTTGCTTGTCATGACTCATAGATCTAAACAGAAATAACCGTCTGATATGGGTCATTTCTTTAATAAAGATAATAAAACTGACATTTGTTGACATTCTATAATCGGAGGTCTTGTATGGAGCCAGACGTAGTCTCAGTGAACAACTGGCAATATAGAGAGACTGAAGCTTTTGGTCTATGCTTGTCAGTGTGATTCATTTTGGGGAACATTGGCATTGCTGATGCCACTTCTATTTATTTAGGTACCAGTGTCCAAGTCAAGTGATGGACATCATTGCCAGGCCTAAGCTAGAGCCTGGTATTATTATCATTATCATGAATTTGTAATACTAGTGTAGGTCTAGGCCTAGTCTAATTGGCATGTGTCATGGCATTGCTGACAACAAGACAAAATTAAACATGACAGTCATACTCAGATATCTACTGTAGGCCCGGCCCGGCTAGGCCCAACTCCAGCCCAGGGTCAGAGGGTGCGAGCTCCGCCGCCGCCTTGGGCGTTGGACTCGAGCTCCCTCAGACTCAGTCCCTGAACTCTGAAATTGAGAGGCCGTCGGATATGAAAACACCGAACATTTCATGGAAAATGGAAAGTTATAAAGCATATCAAATAGTGAAATGTCAGTAACGTGAAGAGTATGAATTCGACTACATGTACAGGTTTTATACTTACGATTTTAAGGAAAGGATCGAGAGATTGAGAGATATTAATTGCACTAAAATCGGGCTGACCAGATACTATCGCAGATTGTTTTGGCGGTGAATTATTTGGATGAAATCAATCGAGCATAAATTATCTCCACCCAGTGCTGCATCCTGATTGGTTGATAGCTCTCAAACCAGGTTTGAGAAATTACAAACCTCCTATCTGAGCAGTCTGTAAATTTCGGGTCTGATGACGTACATAAACCTGGTCTGAAGACAAACCTTGCTTTGTGAAATGTAATTTCAGACCAAGGTCTGAACTCAAACCTGAAACGCGTCATATGACGTACGAAAACCTTGGTCTGAGCTCAAACCTCCTTTGTGAAATGCATTTCAGACCAAGGTCTGAACTCAAACCTGAAACGCGTCATATGACGCACATAAACCTTGGTCTGAGCTCAAACCTTGCTTTGTGAATTCGGGCCTATGAGTTTTAATTGAATTTCGTAGATTCAAATTGAAATTTCTCAAATATTGAGACTGGTTGTCCGGTCCGACAACCTCCGCTAATGGCTTAAGTGCTAGAATTTTGCTTTTTAATTGGCTTTTGCACTTGGTTCTGCATACAATGTATGTGACACGTATCCTCAGCTGAGCACCACATCTTGTCTGTGACAGGATCCTGAACGTACCTGTACTATTGTTTGTTGAAAGATTCAATTATCCGCTCAGGAAAACAAGCAATTGTGGTTTCTCCAAGCCAATTATTTGATGAGGAAGGGATGAGTATCTGCCTATTAAATGAATAGGCACTTGTAAATTGCAAAGAAAAGAAATGAGTGAATTTCTTGACAGTCTGTGCAAGGACGTACTGCAGTCTACAATGAACTGAGCACTAATAATAATATTGGGTTCTTGTATAGCGCCCATGTCTGGCATATTTGACACTCCTGGCGCTCCTGATTATTACCAATTACAAAATACATATGTATGGAACTGATAGGAAGGAGTCTGCGAATATTGGATTCTAAGACTAAGGCCCGTATTCTATTAAATTTAAATTCTATGCTTGGCGTCATTTTTTGTCCAATAATTTGGTCAATAATTGGGTTAAAGAAAGGACGTTAGTCTGGGGTGTAAATTTTACTTTGTTAAACATGATTTTAGATCAGAGACTGGGTTTAACTGAATTAGTAGAACTGTAGAGTACGGACCTAAATGTTTTGGCTTGATCCATATCACATGATCAAAAAGACTGGTCTGCAGGGCTTAAATGTACATATTATGTACATGTCTGTTCAATTGATTGTTTCTGAAAAAATGGCTTATGAGATTGAGAGAATCTTCAGCAATTGTTGGTGATAAACAATCCTAAAAAATAAATAACAAATAAATGAACAACCTGTAAATATTCATAAAATTGTATGTATGTAATACTAATATGCAGGGAAATGTATGACAAAGAGAACTGGGGCAGCATTTCACAACCCCCCCCCCCCCAAAAAAAAAAGACAAACAAACAAAACATGTAAGTTAGAGTAATGCGTTGCGCCTGTGACTTCTAAAATTGCTGATTTTTTATTGTAAGACTGTGCCTAAAGAAACCATGTTATTCTTCTTCTTCTTGTTTTATGTCTTTACAGAGAAGCTATCTTCAGAATATGTGACGCAGCAGGATTCAAGTATACAAGAAAGAAAAAGGTAGGATCAAGAAAGATTTATTATTGTCTTTAATGTAGGTTTGATTAATACTTCAAGTAAAGTCCACTAAAGGTAATCTTGAGTTTTTATGGAAAACAAATTCTCACAGAATCATAGAATTAGAGTTATATTGCATTGCCAATGATATCTGTTGAACGATTGTGGCATGAGTTAATGTACATGTAGTGCAGTAAGGAGAGATTAAGGAAGGTGAGGAGAGATTTACATGTAGGCCTATTAAAGGTAAAGACCAGTATTGGAAACGCCCCAATTTCAAAAAATGAAATGGAAGCTCTTATTACCAATCATGTGAAAGAATATGTTTTGACTAATACATTATGATAAAATTTTTGCCGGGAAACCGCCTACTAATTGATATATTTGGTAAATTAGTTTATCTATTGGTATGTGAGAGATAAACGCATGTGTCGCGCACGTGTGCGTATAGTCCCATATACATCTTTCTGTGTACAGTGCTTGTAACTTTACCAAGACTGGGCCAAATTTCTTATCATTTTGATGATTCCAGAACCTTGCAGTACACACCAATACTTAAATGCTAGATGATCAACCTTTTCTGATCGATTCCACAACGTTTCTTTCACAATGCAATCGCATGACCATAACTGGTCTTTATCTTTAATGTCCGATGAGGGTCAAGTTGATACACTGTATACAATTATTTTGTATACATGATTGATTATATCAATCAGTGCACTAACTTCATGGAAACTAAACGGTTAAATGCACCTGTAAAACCTCAACAGTGATTAATTCAATTGCTTTGTCTAAAGCATTTGATTGTTTTTATATGGTATAATAGTATTTTATCAAGTGCTTTAATAGCGAAAGTGAAACTATCGCCTACTTGACTTGAGAGTGTAAGATAGTTTGCCTTCCAGGCCATTATGATTGATCTTTTTTTATCATAAAAAAATTAAGTTGTTACAATTGTAGGCTTATTATTTAATTGTTTAACACAGGAGTGAACTTGAATCAATAATAATAATAATAAACATAAATTAGTCTGTCTGAGACCACCTTGAGGATATATTGACCATGTTGGCCAAATATAGATTTCATGACCGTGTATTGTACTTGTACTGACCTCTGATGGAGACTATAGTGTACATGTAGAAAGTTTACAGGGTTTATGGCAAGCTACGTGTTATCTCAAATAATAGCATGCAGTAGGCTTCCTGCTAGGACGGGCAAACCGGCATCAAATTCCTTTCATACCTGTCACTCCATGATGGTTTTGCTTTCTGGATAGTGACTAAAACTTACTGTACCACTTTAGATGTTTAAAGGTACTGTTAATAGTTTAAAGGTACTGTTAACTTTAAGAGGTATTCACCTACTTCATAAAAACTCTGCAATACTGGTATGCAGAATGCACAGGTGTAGCTTAATTGATACTTGGGAGTTGGGGGAACAAACAAAAAAGGGAAATTTCAACCTAAGTTCATTATTATTGTTGAAAAGGAGAAATTATAAATGTAAAGTGCTTCAATAGAAATATATTTAGTTATTAAACAAATATAACAATTTATAAAAAAGTCACCCTCGCAAAATCTCATACCGGTATTCAGTCTGAAAAACTACAAAAGAGCCCCTCTGACTCCCAAATAGAAAGTAAGAAAATGATTAAAAACAAAAAAATGTGCAATATAAATTTGTAAGGGCAATGTCAGAGTTTGCATGGATGATCCAAGGGTGTCGTACTCCTCTCTGACGGGCAAAGTGAGAGCTGGGGTTACCGGTAGTTTCTATCTGCGACCATTTTAAGCGTGTATCACGATAGCCTCACTGGGACTAATGAATGAAACTTGATATTAATAACAGCCTGACTTTATCCCTGCAAACAGTCTCCTGCTTTAGCATCTGCCAAAAGTAATAGGGTTCAAATCCACTGAATGGTAGTTTTGAGTATGATTTGCAAAATTTGATATTCTGAAAGTTTGAACTTTAGTTCAATTGTATTGCTGTGTATAATGTACCTGTACCTAAAAGAATTAAAGCTACAAATTGCCCCTTGTAAAGTCAGATGGTGCTGGCCCATTATTAATTTCTTTCTAACTTATTAGATTCTTTAAGTGTCAGAAAAAGAATGAAAAAAACAACAACAACATGTTTTAACCTTGTAAGCAAACCATCTGAGAATCAGACTTCAGATATTAAACAAGTCACTACTTCCTCAAGGGGGTGATATGGCACAGCTTGTTTATGAGACAAGGGATTTGTTTGTTGTTGTTTTTTTAATAATTTTTAAAAATTTGTTTGTTTGTTGTTGTTGTTGTTGTTGTTGTTGTTGTTGTTGTTGTTTTTTTTTGGGGGGGGGGTGGGGTCCTCGTAGAACCCTACATGTACATGGAAATGGATCCTGCTTTTCTATAGTCTTGTACAGCCCTTTCAGCTCATACCCTTTATTAGTATCCATTGACCTAGATTAAAATTATGTAATACAGGGTCTTCGTTACAGGAGCTTTAGCTAGATGCATGAGAACATTGAACATGTAGTCTTGATTACAGACCTACAAGTACCAAGTACCAGTTGTCTGACTGCATGTGCAGTCTCCCAAGATCTTGTAAAGTTCTGCTATGGTGCTACCCCAGCAGTGAGTAATCCTCTCAAACCACATTCACCATCTCCATTATGAGCTGACAAACTTACTTATGTACATGTGCACTCAGGTATCGCTTGAATGACAAAGTGAAGGTCATTGTCAAACAGTCCCTGCTGTTCCCATGGCAACAGACAAAAATATATATCCTTCCCCTAGCTGCTGGATCTAGGTACGCAGTGTCTGTCGTGATGTACTAAACTCAAGAAGCTTAGAGATGCATAAGTTTTTCACTTTCATTGAAAGTTTACCCACATTTTCAAAGCTTTATCTTATCTGGAACTATTGGGCTCGTGAATTGTCTCAAGTTTTTAAGCTTCATCAATACTATTTTTACACAAGCACATATAGGCAGTGGCAGGGGGGGGGGCAGGGGGCTCGGGCCCCAACCCCTGGGAAACAAAGGAAATGAAAAAAACACCTTTAAAATATTGCTCACTCTCCCCCCCCCCCCACTCCCCCCCCCCTCCCCCTCCCCCTGTTGAGCAAAAAAATAAAATAGTGCTCACTACCCCCACAGAATCTCAACAAGCACATGCTCTTAACTACTGCCCAGGGATTTGACTGAGAGTGTAATTTTGAAATGGGCACATATTCAGCTGTGAAACATGTACAGTGGACATTTTATTTTTGCATCCCCCTTAGGCGAGGCGTCAAAAATAAATATACCAGCCAGCGGCAGCTAACTGCACTTGTGCGTCCTGGCTGCATTTTTAAA